TGTTGTTGCTGTTGTTTTGTTGTTGTCTAATCCTCCCTGTTGTCCTGCCCTTGAGATAGCTGCCCTTGCTGCCTCTGTATCCCATTCCTACCATCCAGAGCTATGTTTAGGTCTCTTCATCTGTTTCCTGCAGGTGTAAGTGTAAAACACAGTAGTCACTGTGCAGAGGGTTTTTTTCATTATTATTTGAAGTAAAAATATGAGTCGTTCTCCATTTGCGATCTGTGTGGTTACCAAAAAACACCGGGTTTTTTTTTGTATTTTTCAGGGGAGCTCGAATGATTCCAGAGTCTGACCAGATCTTCACAGAAGTGGAACTGAGTACCCTGGAAAAAACAATCAATGAAACAACGGTAATCAAGATGTGAAGGATTCCTGGGTGGGGCTGTAGGAGTTGGGCTCCCCGTCCCAGGCAGCGGGTGCCCTTTCCCTCAAGGTCGGGGCACAGGGCACGACGTTTCTGCACCTTTTGGGGTTCGGTGTTCTCCAGTGCGCAGCTTGACCGCAGGCTGCTCTGGAGGACAACGATCCTGGTGTTGCCCGTGGCAAGCAGTAATGCTGTAGCCCAGTGGTCTGGCCGCGTGCACTTATCGAAGTAGCTGTTCTTGGTTGTTCTGCTTCTTTTGGCCCTGTCCCCAGGGTATCTAAGAAACTGGAAAAAGGGCAGTGGGAAGCAGTGTTGCTCTGAGAACGTTAGGAGGCCTACGAGCGGTGATGCTGACAAACTGTGCGCTGCGGTGGGCAAACCAGGATGTCCCAAAAAGCACCTCCTCCTTCTCCCTCCAGGTGTGGAAAAATGAGACGCTGGCTGAACAGAACAAGCTCTCTCCTGCTGAGAAACCTGTCCTGCTGTCCAAGGATATAGAGCTCAAGATCGCAGCCCTGGACAGGGAAGTGCAGTACCTTCTGAACAAGGCCAAGTTTGCAAAACCCAAGCCCAGAAAGGAGAAGAACACCACAAAAGCTGATTCAGGCAAGAATGCTACAGCGTCCGAGAGCGAGGACACTATCCCTCCCACGGAGGGGCGACACGAAGGTAAGGAAGGGAGGGCTGAGCACTGCTGTACCAGCTAGCTCTGAGGGTGCCTTGCCTGCACAATCGGGAGATTGCCCAGGGCTTCTAGGGGCGTAAAGCCTGGCAAGGAGAGAGTGGGAGCAGCTCTGTGCTGTTCCTCCGAGCGCCCACAGAGAACCACTGTGAGCGGAGTGAGTGCTGCCCTGTTGAGGCACCGTAGCTTCTGCGCAGGCCTCGCTGGTGGGCACATCCTCTGCACCTCATCTCCTGAATATTCGTGTTCTTTCTTTTTGTCTTTGATGTAGATAAACCTGAGGATATCAGTCCAGCCAAGGAACCTCCTACAGCTGAGGAAGTCGGTGAGGAGCCTGGAGCAGACTCAGGTGGGTGCATATTTGGCTAACAGACCTGTGCTTGCTAGCTGGGAGTGCAGGCTGCCCACGTGTGTTTTCTGCCTCTTACATGTAGCGGGCACTTAACTGTGGCAGGTACTCTTGATTGTTCAGTGCTTGGGGATTCTTGATGAATGTCAGTGCCGTTTAAGACTGCTTTGTGTGCTCTCAAACTATTACAGTGTGTAACTCGGTTCCTTTTGTTACACAGGGTCCCAAAAGGAGAAGAAAGTAGAAGCCGGAGGAGAAAGCAGGAAAAATGATGAGTTATAACACCCCTGAAATCCCATTAGTGTCAACATCTATTTATTTGAGGGTTACTTTCCTGTTTTTTATAATGGACCTGGCTAGTTACGATGTAAAAGGCACACAACAAACAGTCTGACAACAAAAGGCAATAGAGATGTACATTTTTTTTCCCCCGGGATTTTGCCGCTACTAACTTAGTGAATTGTTTTTTATTTCTCTGTTCTTCTGTGTTTAAAGGTGACAGTGTGCTCACCAACAATTGTCTCTGTTTCAGTACAGTCTTACTGAAGTCACCGAAGTGACTTTCCTTTAGAGGAAGGCAGCGGAGGAACTGCTGTAAGCTTTAGGAGGGAACCTTGAACGTAGCCTCTGTGCCACAGCTCGTCCGGTGAAGGTCAGGGGGATCCTCCAGGGAGGTGTTGCCAAGCTGCTGCCTAAAGGAACGGTGCGGCTGGTGGGAAGAGCTCGCTAGGGCTCAGGGCTGTGCTGGGCATTGAGGAAAGCGTGCGTCTGTTTTCCGGGGGCTGTCGTGAAAGCCATCCCTATCTGTGCTCTGTGGCAGAGTCTGGGAAGGGTGGATTGAGATTTAACCAAGTGATTCCGTTTATTGTTTACTGTACCACAAAAGCTCAAAAATTGTTAAGTTGAAGGGTAAGGAGGCTGGAAGAAGAAACAGTGGTGCATCTTTCTCTAGCTGGAACAGCAACCACTAATGGACCATAGAGGCGGCCCAGGCTTAGATTAAAAACAAGGGAAAATTGGCACGTTGACTACACCTCTTCCCCCCTGCAGCATCTTGTGAACTCCGACTGGCTTCCTTGTGCAACGTCCCGTCCCTGCTGCGGTCTCCCCGTTCTCTGGGACTGTTCATGCTGCTAAAGCGCACGAGCGGCGGCGCCATGCGCTGTCCCGCGCGCTCGTGAACGTGCATCGGGTGTTGTTCTCCATGGGCATCCACCACCAATAAAGCTCCTTCCTGGCGGTCTCTTACGCAGGCTCTGGTCGGCGCGGAACGGCGGAGCCCGGCGGCGCGCGGGGCTCCTGGCGGGGTT